TGATCATGGTGAATGCGATTTCCGGTTTCACGATGAAATCGTTTTTAGTTGTGCGTGATTTTATTTTAATTTATTTTTGCAAGAGAATTTTTTTCCCAAGTAGCGATATGTATTTAGATGAATTGGCATGAATACGAATCTCTGACAACGGGCTTGTTCACCACCTTTTTTGTTGGGAATGTGCTTTGCGTGACTATTTCGACAATATCTTTAGCAATCTTTTCACATTTGGAAAGAACCAAACCCAAATTTTTACAGCGATTGTGAAATCTAAATTGGCACCGGTGGGATTCCTACCCACGCATGGACGCCGCCTGCGCGTCTGCACACCACACGCTCTACAAGCTGAACTACGAGGCCGCATCAACAGCATTATTCTTTTCACATTCGAATTACCCATCCAACTTGAAGAGGCATATGGCATCTAACAGTTAGCGTGTAAGCTGACTACCCCGACAGGTTTTCCTCAGAATGCACCGGAGTCCACCGAATGAGCTTCTAAGGTAAGGTTAATTGTTAAAATTGTTGTTCGGCAGAGTTGAAGTTTGTGTGACGATTGTGAAACGGTCGGTAGCCTCGGTGGGATTCCAACCCACAAAAGATCAGTACCTTGATTGTGGTCTCGTTGCTCAGGTGGTAGCCAGTGCGTGTACAAAGCGTAGGTGTCGTCCATGTGTGGGTTCGAATCCCACCGATAATAATAACCTTTTCACTATCACACCGCAGACTTCAAGTCTGCCAAACAGCAATTTGAACGATATTTTTACACTTTGGTTCATCTACATTTAAATTTGGTGTCGTATTATGTTATCGGGTGAAGGAAAACGTGATAAAACCTGTGACCTTCACATCAATAATATTGCAGCTAGATGAAAACTAAGGATCCCAACATTTTGCGTGAAATGCTTTCATTCGTACATCTGGGGTCTTCCGTTCAAGATATGCATCAGTCAGAAACACATTATGGAGTGCCTTTAACAAGCCCTTTTTGCTCTGGTCGATATTTTACCTCGAAAGATTGCGTTCATGGAATCAGAAACTCCACTAACATGAAACAAATAGCAAAGAAAGGAAGCACAAGTAGGTGCAGAAGATTCCTACTTCTCAGGGTGTGTTGCATTCTGTCAATCAATGGCATTCAAATGTTTTTAAACACACCATAGAAAGAAATTCGTATATTACGGACCTATTAGCTTTTTTCATACTTCCTACCGAGTAGAACATAGAAAACTCTTACAACTCCCACAACTCCTACAACGCTGTTTAACGATTCATGCGTTGTATATCGAGGTATATTATTTTGTAAAATATTCTACAATATATGATTACTAAAGTTATCTTTCCAACTGCGATGGCTAAACATCATGAGAATTAAAGTGATGCACTATGAAAACTGTTACCAAATGAAACCAGAATAACGAAATATTGTGCTGAAAAATGCTCTATGAGGATAAGCTACTAGCTGCTATTTAAGGAGATAAACGACCTTTATCAAATTTACAACAGTCCGAATAGTTATCAAACATATAATTCTAGACGAATAAGATAATGTGAAGTATTCCCCTTGGGCTGCAATAAACATTCGTTACCCGTAAGGCCGAGTTTCATAACTACACTTCAACGGATAGCAGTGAACATCTCATATCTCAATGCTGGCTGAGGCAACAGCGATGCAACAGAAATGGTCGTGTTTTCAAACTTTCGGCATGCTTTTTATATTCAACTTAATTTCGAATAGACAAAAACAATGTATAAGCGTTATTCAAAGTTTTCTTTATTTGTTTTGTTTAACCCACATGTTTTCAGTGCAAAAGCATAGGTTTATGTTAAATACTGGGACCGAATCTGCAAAATGAGAGTAAGGAAATGACGTTACCTCGTAGTTTACCAGGGTTGTGAGTAAGGTTTGCAATGAAACTTGAAAATAGAATAGTACACAATCCTTCGTGACCTTCTTTCCTTAAATGGTTACTGAAATCAAAATATTCATATTCAATTTATGTCTGTTTGAGCACTTTCTAACATTAAAAAGATGATGGATAAACCAGTGGGAAATGGCTTGAACGTACTTGAAGCGAAATTGAGGCAGTTCGCTGCTCCATACAATTTGCTCGGTGGTGGAAGCACTTCATTCTGGGTCACACGAGGCAACTGTTGCAACTGTTGTTGCAAAGAGCCACCCGGCTAGAAAATAATTGAAAGTCCTATGAAAAACAAATGTTTTCATTTCATAAGAGAAATGCTGCACAAACCCCAATTACTAAGTTATCGCAATACTATCAATTGAATTGCGCTCCTGATTAGACTCCAGACTTTGCTCATGGCGTACGCAAGTAGCATGTAACCACTCAAAGATATAAAAAACATTATCGTGTTACGAGTTAGTGGGGGATAATCTAAATGATAATCAGGTGACTTCACATTGCATTTTCGTCGAAGCTGCCCCTTCAGCTAACTCGGTGAACCACATGGGGGGCATTCTTGTTCGCCTAGGGTAAATCGCTTGGAATGATGAGGAATACATCAAGTAATTCATATCTCGATGTCAATTTTACAAAACAAAAGGTATGCGCCGTCACGAAATCCAGCGGTCTGTGAAGGAGCGAATGCAAGCTGTAGCAGTTCGGTCAGTTCGGCTTTACGGTACAGAAACTTAACCATTACGAAAACATAATAAACTGGCGGTGCTTGAACATCGCTGTTTATGTCGCATTACATGAGTCCGATAGGGCAATCGGACAAGTAATGCTGAGGTTAGGCGTAGAGTTTTAGGTGATCTTAGCCGCCCACTGGAGTGAGTGGTTGGCTTCCATAGATTGCGGCAGGTGGAGTCTGTGTTACGCATGCCACCAAATAGTCTTCCACGGCGAAAGATGTGTGTCGAGGCAGACAATGAATGAAAAAATCAAGAGTGACTGAGACATGACATGGGTGTATGAAAACCTAAACAGGTGAATTGATCTTGAAATTGCATTAGGCTCCCCGGCTGGAGATAACGAGATCATGGTAACCGGTGGTTAAATACAGTGAGTGATACGGCTATGTCGCAAACAGTGACGCTAGTGCATCCATTCATTAGTTTTGGAACCCCAGCCAACCTAAATGAATTTTCTATCTTCTCTTTGACTCTGCTGTCAACGTTCTCATCTTTCTTCTTCTTTACCCAAATGAATAGCCCAAAGACAGCAACCAAAACAGGCGCATTAGAATGCATGGTTAACGGCTGAAAAAAATGAAAATGAAAACTGAAACAGTGCGTTATAGTTTTATATTTACGATAAATCTTACAAGAATTTTGTGATATTTATTCACCATATAAGATAATGCTAAGAAAATACTTCCCAAGTGCGACCATCTGATAGAAGTAGAGTAAACAATTATTGCTCACTCAGTTGCAAAAGCCACCATATTTTTCTCAAAGCCATTCGTCTCATATTAACGTTGTCAATGCCTCCCAGGTGATTGTATTCTTGAAGCACGAATGAACCAACGAAGTCAAACTAAGTGTGTTCACTACCCAAATTTCCAAGCCAAACTAAAAGACTCCTTTAAAATTGTTTCGCCATAATTGATGTTGTTCAGGAGCGCATAGCGACCGCTGCTTGCCCGTGAAAGAAGTCACCACTGGTTGGTACGTTATTATTAACTCTCTTTATCTCCGCGTTCAATGATGACCATATGTTTAAATTTTGTCTTACTTTTGATTGTAAATCTTGAGTAATCCTGGTGGGATCCAAAGCATTGCATGGAAGCCGCCCACGGAATGACACAGCGCACGCCTGAACAGCTGAGCTACAGGGCCACACCGATAGCACTGACCTTTTTATACAAAGAATTACAGAGACAAGTGGAATCCACCAGATATCATGTGAACTTAATGCCACGGTAGGTTTACCTTACAGTGCATCGAATGTACTTCTAAGGATCGGTTACTCGTTCGGTTTTGTCGGACAGCCTACCTGCTGCCTGGTGGACTCCTTGCTTTGAATCTGTATACCTTATACGCCTCATTACCTAGAGTGAGCTGTCAAAATGTGGAAAAATCACTGATATCGGTATGTCCCCGTAGCCTAACTGGTTACGTTTGTGGTGTATAACACTGCATCTATGCGTGGATTCGAATCCTACCAAATTTTTCACAATTTAGGTGCGAAATTGCTGGATGAGCTGACAAAAGGGTCGGTTTCCAGTGACGCAGGTCAAACACTCTGAAGTGAACATGAAGATTCTAATTGAGTGAAATAATACAACTAAAAGAGTATTATTTAAACTTGCAAAACAAACCAAAATAAGTAGAACTTTAGATAGCTTTCATAGTGCTGATAAAAGGGACACGAATTAATGCGTCTGTAAATGCCGATGAATATAAGCTTTTATCAGATCCTCATGAGCAATAATTTTTTTCAGAGCAGTTTTATGTACTACAGGATTTAAAGCGAAGCAGGTCAAATCGTTACTCCATGGCTAGATGGGAGGATGTACCGTAAGCGATGGAAATGTTTGTGGTAACCAACAAAGAGCGTTGGACAGCTGTTTCGTCCTGTTCGGGACTCGTCAGCAGTGCGTACGTTTTGTTTCCTTGTCAAGACCATCAAAAGTGCCTGGTGCCTCTGAACAATCAAATGGGCTAATCCAAGCTTGATACTCAAAAGATGTACCGTAAGCTTTGAACATTTCCCAACACAGTGAAAGAGAATGTGGGAGGAGAGAATACCTACAAAAATTATTCAATTAATTTGTTTGCCGTTATTCAATTTACGTGATGCACACAGCTCGAAATTTTCGGTCACCCAAAATCTTCGTCTGATTGTCATTCATGTTTGAAAAAAATTCCTGTTGTACGTTGCACTTGCTGTGCTTCTTAATACTGAAAGAACTGGAAATATACTCTAAAAAGCATAGAAGCTGACCCTCAAAGGTTAACCGTGAGGTGTGCGGCTCGTTGAGTAAGTGACGTGTGATGTAGAAATACCCAAACAAGATGAAACATTGAAAAGGTTTTGGCACAGGATTAAAGCCGAGAAACAACTTCATCGAGAGGCGAATAAATCCGATTACTCAGCTCCTGATTTGTGCAAATGCTTATTGTCACACAACCAACGGAATTTCTCAATCAAGACAAAAAACACGAGGGAAAAAACAGATCACACCGGAGTAAGACTATGCGTAATTTGATCGCGGATGAGAAAAGTTGCACACGACAAATCCGGAGAATAGTCCAGCGGGTTGACCGACTTTTTCGGAAGCTCAATGGAAAATGATGACTCAGTTTGATACACAACTGAGACCACCTGATATGAAGCCGTTACTGAATACCCAACAAAGCAGAGTACCTATTAACTTTACCAAAAAATTTAAATCGCATCACCCGTCTATTTGACATTGGATTTATCTCATCGGTATCGAAAGAGCAATTACCAATCGAAGAAAGCTGATCTACTGATCCAGTTGACAATGCTTTTCGTTTTACCTGTCAAAGGAAATAAATGTCCACTCAGGCCAACAGTGGGCAGGGAAGTAAATACTGAGCACCTTTTTGTTGGTCTTCTGTACATAACAATCTGGATATCGCAAAATTTGTTGCACTGATAAGGGAGATTTTCAATAACCTTCTATCTCAGAATGCATACGAGGAAGTCATGTTTAGCAAAGAGGAGGATTAATATAGATTCTCGCTTGCGTTTGGAAGTAGAAAACAGTTAGACATCATTAAGTATTACTT